TAGACTCGATTATCTATTCGTATGACTTTACTGCATCTAAGTAGGTTAGTATACCATCTCTCTTACTTTTATTTGTTGTTACTGAGGTCTACTACCAAGCCCCAAGTTACTCTTGTTGCTTATCCTATATGTACAAATCCAAGTCCTTTAATGCTTCTTCCTTATCGTTCATCTTAAGAATGATTACCTAATCGCATCTCATACTTTGTAACTTTTATCCATCCATTGTTGATTCACTTAAATGTTGATCTGCAACCTACTACTGATAACTTCAAACCTATTACGTAATACATTGTCAATAGGGCTTACTCCTCATCGATGAATATCTAAAATTATTTGACTGATCCACTTGGGGCAATACAAAGCTTTCATAATCGTATTTCATAGCGTCCCAATGTGATTCACCTTACGTGGGTATTTTAATCCTATACAATTCATGAGATCTCCTTCCTTTATTTTTCTTCTTCAAATTATTACTCAAGCAAAGGCCCAAACGTCATCCTTTATTTATCACAATTACACCCTCATTCTACTACTAGGGCAACATTCCATCTCTTCTAAACGCTATTAATCTTAGACTCCTTTGAGGGCATTTAGGCTATACTGAACTTTCTGAAACTTAGAGAAACCATTAGCTATCTTGTTTTCATGGGCTTAATACCGAGGACATATCCATTCTCGTCACCTTCTCGTTCACCCATTCTTATCCTTACTCTTGTCTTCCCAAAACTCTGTTGCCTTATCATATTTTAGCTTGGAACTTACACACATCTATTTACACTACTCGCAACCTCCCTTCAACTTGTTTGCACCATAGATTTCCTTATGTTACTTTGGAACATCAAGCGAGACATCACATCGCATCTAACTCTCCTTTACTCTCTTGACTAGTCCTCTCGATAACTAGAAACCATAGGCTGGAAGGTATACCACTGATGACGCCACTATCAGTCTTGGATATCGAATCCCCGCACTTCTAGCCTTCTATCGAAGTAAGGTCTATTCACAACCTTCTGCATTTGAGTATCTCATATGTTGTTCACATTTACTTTTTTTTAGCTTAAAGTCTTACATCGTATCTTCTATCTCTTTCATGAACTCCCTTCCATACAAGTATAATTCACGTCCACAACTTGAGGCTCTATTATAATACATTCACTTCTAGGGCATACACAATTCGGTGGGAGCTTCATACTAACTTCTTATGAGGATGATACTTCTTATAATGAGCCTTCTACCTTATTTCCTCAACTGGTCTTCCATTGTAGTACTTAGGGAGGACCACTGATTCCTACAAGGCTACGAGCTTATTACCTTGTTTACTTAATGTAATTTTTGATGTCCTTCCTCGACTATAATTATTCATAGTTACTTACCTCCATGCTCTTGTGCTTGTAGGGATGCTTTTGAACTTGATATTTTTACTATCTTCCCATCGACATTCTCTTTTATTTCTATAATACTCATACAGTACCTTTTTAACTCCCCTCATATGAATATATCTCAAGTATTATAATGTCATAACTACGAGGCTGAACTCCCCATGTTGGGTTCACTCTGTTTATCTTGCACGACCTATTTATATGTCTATATCCTCTTATCTAGCCATAACTAGGCTCTTCCTGAATCAACTACTAACCATTTGCTGGCCCACTCTTATAACAATATTCAGTGTACCCTTTCTAGGGTTATTTCCTCTCTTAACTTACCTCTCGCACTGGTTCCTTATTTACCAATAACATCCAAGGTAGGAACCCTTACTTCGTTTCCTTGACGTTGTGTTTGCATAATGTTCTGGAATCGTAGCATATCTATAGGATTTAAATAAGTGAAATCTCATCCCTTTTCCATTTTTATCGCATTCTTCCTTTACCATTCCATAATTACTAGAACCACTTAATTTTGGCTTAATGCCACATCATTCCATATTCCCCCTTTAGGGAAGTACTAGGAGTTGGATCTACAATGAACTACCTACAAATGTTTTACCTTTTAATCTCAACCAATCCATTCACTATTTTGGGTTACTCTAACCCCAGCTGGATCCTGATGTTCCATCCTTTTGTCAAACTATACCTGTTAGCCCCTATAGGGAATAACTTAGACGGGTGTGGCCAATTGTACATACCTTTGTTATTGATGAAGGTAACTCAAAATGCTTATATCTCTCTTCCTGAATTGTAGAAAATGTTCATATCTACTAATTAGGTAGCAAGTACCCTTCTTTACCTTGCTTTTTGCTTCTTTTTTTTTCGTCGAAACTTGTATCTTCTGATCCTTTGATTGCTTTTTACCATAATAGTGGATAGATATTTTTTCCTTAGGTATCCTTATCGAGAAGCTTACACCTTTCAGTACACATATGATCTGTTGAAGACCTCATATTTGCTTATCACAAGCATAATACAAAGTCGAGTTCCTCTGACTCAACAATTCCATAGCCATATCTCTTACCGACCGTCTTTATGGATGTAGGAATCGCCATATTATGAATGGAATAGGAGCTAGGAGTTTCAATTCTTATAAGTGAGCTCTACCATACTATCTAGTGTAAGAAGAAAGATTGACAATCCTAAATGCCCTGTAGCCTCCTGCTTATAAGTGTGGTGCACGACACACCCATAAACAAGACTCTACTAGACACGGCTTGTAGATTCTCTATGATAGAATTGCTCTGATACCACTTTTGTCATGACCCAAATTGATGGGCCGCGACGGGCACTCGGTACCTTACTCAACCGAGTACAGACATAACGTATCTTTTTGTATCATACTATCATAGATGACTAAGCTGGAGAGGCTGCCGTGAAATAGGTGGAATACAACGTGTTATACCAACTTATGCATAAGACATATGGGCCTCTAAGACAAAAATAACCACTCGTACATTGAACATAGGCCGACAAGGCGATACAATCTTTTACATGCATGACATCTGTCTACAATCCTTTAAGGATACATAATTGTCATAAAGGCCGGGATAGAGCCCCACCATACCAAACAATACACATCTAAGTCACACTGACCAAACAAGAAACTCCGGAGCAAATGGAGTGCACCAACATCTTCCGCTGAGCTGATCGCCTACTTGGAGGACTCTCGACCAATCTATCAAGACCTGAGGGTATGAAATGCAGTGTCCCTAGGAAAAAGGGACGTTAGTACGAATAATGTACCGAGTATGTAAAGCACATAAATAAGTACATAAAAGACATGGAAAAAATATAGAGTAAATGAGTAAACCTGTAAGTCTAGATAACTCTATAAATTATGAAATACTTATAGTGTCATGCATATGCATATGAATGTCATGTCATGCATAGGTACACGTGTTCATAAATCATCAAGCCTTTTGAGGGCATCCCATCATATCAACTCGTCCACTGTGGGCAAATCATCAACGTATATCAGCTAATCAGGTGGTGGTGTGCATATAATGCCATAACTTTTCCCATATCCCATATACATATATACATACATATATATAGGCATATATAATGCCATCTGGTCATGGGTCAATGTAAATGATGCAATGCTTGAGAAGTACGTCAATAAAATCTTTCAGAGTGTCATATGACCATTATGCCTCCGATTAATATCACAAAATCAATTTACATATTTTTTGAGACATATGAACAGACGATGGAATAATAAGACACATGAGAATTCAAGAACATAGACACTTCTAATACTTCTATGAATAGAATTATTTATAGAAGTTGTACATTTGCTCGTTTCACTTGTATCGTATGGATCATGCCAAACAAAAGAAGGGATAGCCTTAACATACATGAGCTGGTTCTACGAGCAAGCCCTCTAATATAGGTTAATTGCGAAAAAACATGTGACAGCAAGATCGGAGTAGGAAAAAATCCGTATGATTTTTTTTGTAGCAAATCATGTTATATCGTCTAATCTTTTATGAATTTTGTGGCTTCTTTTTGCCCGTCTTGGACATAATTTTGTATATGTTTGCTGAAGAAAATCACATTTACATTTAATCTTTCTAAAGAATTCACATGAATCCTTTCCATCAAAGAATACGTTACTTTACGGAGACATAAGCATAACCCTTAATGTCTTAGGTTTGTGTCTTACCAATGAGATTGGGGCCCACCTTTTGTTGACTTAGCAAAATATACACCTTATACATCATATTATCATGGCCATGTGATACCTTGTATGATACTAGTCTACAAATACCGAGTATAATAGTGTATGCAGCTAAAATTGGAGAGCCCGAGTTTAGGATCATTGTGTCTTTTCGTAGCTTCACCTTGAATGTTTGGGGAATAGTTCGAGTTCTGACCTCGAGGGTTCTTTATGCCCGACCTTGGGGCAGAAAAAATCAACGGTTATCATAGATAAGCGGGAAGTTCCCTAGGCACGAGGTCAAAGCTGATAACACTTGCAAAAATAGTACTAGTCTGTACCAGACTGCTAAGTAGTTGTACCAGCTACATTTCTTTGTAATAAGTACATATATACTATATTGGGATTCCCCTCCTATATAAAGGGGACCCTTGTTATTTCATAAAGGGGGATTGAATCCAAGAAAATTCTCAACTCTCTAACATAAACACATTCTCCCTTGATTCTATTACTTACATATATTGCTTATGTTTATTGTGTTTCAGTGAATGCACGTGAAAACAACGGTCCTAAGGACCATGGACAGAATGATATAGTTGTTCCAGGTATTGGTGTACCACCACAAAACCTTGGGAACGCGCCATAACCGATCCCTGTAGGTATGGTCTCATGCAACGCCCAATGTGCTTATATCAGTTCCCACATCAACGAGAGTACACACCAAGAAAATCAACAGGAAATTCGAAAAAACCCCACCCGGGAAGAAAGAGAGGCAGACTGTAGAAATGGAACGGGAAAACCTCAGCACATCATTCATATGATCATTGGGGGAACCGACAATCCCCAAGGACCCGTGATCAAACGGCGTAAAAGTGTCCACTACAACGGAAGGATTAATTCGGGGCCGCATGTCTGAAGACATCCTTACATTCAGCAAGGAAGATTTTGAGACCTTGACTCGACCACATAACGATGTGCTGGTAAATTCATTCCTCTTGAATAACATTCAAATTAAACATGTACTCGTGGATCCAGGTAGCTCGACCAACCTAATCAGGTGGAAGGTGGTAGAACAACTCGGACTGCTCGATCAGATCGTACCTACCTCCTGTGTCCTCAACGACTTCAACATGGCCGGCGAAATAACGAAGGGGGAGATCACCCTCCTAGTCAACGTGTCCAGTGTAGTTCAGGATGCTAAATTCCATGTCATCGAAGGTGACGTGAGGTACAATGCGTTGCTTGGTAGGCCGTGGATACATAACGTAAGGGCAGTACCGTCAACTCTGCATAATATGATGAAGTTTCCAATAAAGGACGGTATAAAGACGGTATATGGAGAACCGCATACTGCAAAAGAAATGTTCGCAGTCCACTGGGAGGCATAAAGTTCTGTACACTCTACCTCAGAAGAGCCGAGAGGAAAATAGACCCCTGAGGATGATGAAGAAGATTTCCTCGCTCCCGGAACATTCGTTGCCCTAGAAGAATCAGATGTAACGAAGTCGACTATTGAAGAACTAGAGCAAGTTGTTCTGATCGAACGTCTTCCATATAAGGCCCCGTGAATTTTTTTTACTGAAAAACCCGAAATCTCGTAGTGTCAACACAAAATCTTTTTACTTAGCAAGTTAAGGAAAATATTTTTCAGAAAGCCGCATTTCTGCGGCCCATTATGCGGCCGAATAACAGCAATGTGGGCCGCATATCTGCCATAAAGTGAGATAGAATGTTGGCTAATTTTAAGGACAACTATGCGGCCAATTATGCAATCACATAAATGATATGCGGGCCGCATAGTCATCACATAACCTCCTTGTATTTTTGCAAAGGGCAGTTCTGCGATGCATTATGCGACCACAGAACAGGTATGCGGACCACATATTGGTCGCATACCCGGGAAGAATATTCAAGTCTTGAGGGCTACCTTTACGGGCCGCATATCAGTTATGCAGTCACATATGAGACTGCAGATTGAGTCGGGGCTCCTATTTTTTAACTTTTAAAACCCAACCCCATTCCGTTAAAAACACCCATTAGACCCTCTTATGCTATTTTCTACTACATCTAAAGTGAGAGAAATTTTTCTAGAGGGAGAGAGTTATCCTCACCAAGTTGCTACTCAATCCTTTCCCAAATCATTGAAGATTATCTAGAAAGGTTGCTAAGCCTTCATCCTAAGAGGTAAAAGAACTTGTGCCCTAATCTTTGATTTCAAAATTCCTACTAGAATAAGTAACTAACAAGTGGGTTCATGGGTATAAGAATTAATTATCTTGCATGCGTTATTGATAAAAGGGTATGGGGAGATTGTGAGCTAAAAATGTAAAAAATAGGGTGTAGGATGATATAATCTCTCACCAAAAAGGTCCTAAAATCCTAATTCACACTTAGTGCTTGATAATGTGCCCAAATGAGCTAGAATCTTGATTATCCCTCTACTTCATCGTTCAACTTGTAATTCTCATAAAATAGATCGAAGTTGCTAGGAGTTTCGGAATTATTGTAAGAATTTAAGGAAAGCTCTATTGAGGTATGTATGGCTAAAATTCCCTCTTCTTAGAAATTGAGATCCCATGGTGTCCATGCAAATGTTGTAAGTCCGAAATTTGATTGATGTAGTACTTGTTATTTCAAATGAATTGATGTTGCAAGAATATATGTGAAAGGTGTGTCTCAATGTGTTCAATATGCTATTCTAGGTAAATTGAGGATGAGCGAAGAGTGTGAACTATGTGCTAAAATGCCTATATTTCAAGTCAAGTTTAAATTGTGATTATTATGCCAAAATATGTGAATTCCCCTCTATGCTTACAACTTGAATTGCTCTCATATGTGTAATTATCTTTAATTGCACGATTAATGTTGAAAGTGGAAATGATGTGAAACGTGGGGGAAAATAATTGAGTTATGATAATTGTGGCCCCAAGTGCCGCTGAACTGATATATGTATGAACAAAAATTAAAGTGAGATGATTGATGGGAAAGGAAAATGTATTGGTAGGACGGCTTACTCGATCGGGCCGTGATCGGACGCCATGCTACACACATGCTGGTATTGTGTTGATATGTACACTAGAAAGTGAGAATGAAATTGTGATTGAGGTATATGTCTCAAATGAGGCAGCTTAGTTGATCGGGCCGTGATCGGACTCCGCGCAAGAAAGCGGTGGTATTGTGAATGATGATGCCACAGTATGAAATGTCCCAGCCTAAAGTTATGGAAATTATGTGAAAGCTATGTGATCCCCTTTTTATTTGATGATGTGGTCTCAAATGAGGCAGCTTAGTTGATCGGGCCGTGATCGGACTCCGCGCAAGAAAGCGGTGGTATTGTGAATGATGATGCCACAGTATGAAATGTCCCAACCTAAAGTTATGGAAATTATGTGAAAGCTATGTGATCCCCTTTTTATTTGATGATGTGGTGATTGTTTAAAGCTTTTGTTGATCATTATGATTTCTTTGTTCTTGTGTGGTTGTTATTTCTAATGAGATGGTGTTTAGTTATACATACTAGTACTATTCCATGGTACTAACGTCCCTTTTTCTGGAGGGGCTACATTTTTGAATGGATATAGGTGGTTCCATAGCAGACAGTGCCAATCGCAGATAGTGGAGCATCCTTCTCTCAGCAATCTCGGTGAGCCCCTTTTCTTCCAGGGGTTATGCAGTGTAATCTTTTGTTATAAATTACCACTTTTTGAGGTATTGCCAGGGCTTTTTTCCGACATTTTCATAACTGTCTTTTGTATCTTTAGACGCTCCGTAAACGTTTGTGTGGCTTATGTACAGGCGTTGGATTGGTCACTGGACTATGTTGTAATTCTAAACTCTTGTTCTTCTAAACCGCAACTGTATGAATTTTGGGAACATAACTATGATTTAAGGGTTGTAATATAAAATGAACTAGTGATGTTGTATGTACGATCTTTCCTACTGTCTAATTAAATGAAAGCGTGGTTCAATGATCATTGTGAGTTGGGTAGAAGGTGTCCAGAAGGCTTGCTCGGTTGGGTTCACTCGATTGAGTGCCGGTCGCGCCTCCTGAGATTGGGGCGTGACATCCCAGATCAGAAGGTATATCTGGGAACGGGACTAACCCCCGAACTCAGGAAAAAACTCATTCAATTTCTTATTAATAACATTGATTGCTTTGCTTGGTCCCATTTAGATATGACAGGGATCCCACCGGAAATAACCACCCATCAATTAAGTGTCGACCCCAAATTCACACCGGTGAAACAAAAAAGAAGACCCCAGTCCGAAATAAAACACGTGTTCGTTAAGGACGAGGTAACAAAACTCCTCAAAAATAGGGTCTATTAGGGAGGTAATATATCCCGAATGGCTGGCTAATATGGTAGTGGTTCCTAAAAAGGAAAATAAATTAAGAATGTGCATAAATTATAAAGACTTAAATAAAGTGTGATTTAAGGATTCATTCCCATTGCCTAACATCGACCGCTTGATTGATGCCACGGCTGGCCATGAGACCCTCACCTTTCTCGATGCCTACTCGAGGTATAATCAAATTCAAATGAACCCCGAGGATAGGGAAAAGACTTCGTTCATCATGAAGTACGGTACATACTATTACAATGTAATGCCCTTCGGGCTGAAAAACGCATGAGCTATGTACCAGCACCTAGTTAATAAAATGTTCGAACATAAAATAGGCAAATCCATGGAAGTTTATATTGATGACATGCTAGTTATGTCCCTGCACGCAGAGGACCATTTGACTTATTTGCAGGAGACATTTGACATCCTCATAAGCTACAACATGAAACTCAATCCCGACAAATGTACCTTCGAAGTGGATTTGGGAAAATTGTTAAGCTTCATGGTGTCAAACAGAGGAATCAAGATCAACCTCGACATAATCAAGGCTATCAAAGAAATCACGGTGGTAAACAACGTGAAAGCCATGAAATGACTGACCGAGCGGATAACAATCTTGGGCCGATTCATATCGAGGTCATCAGACAAGAGTCATCATTTCTTCTACTTACTCAAAAAGAAAAACTACTTTGAATGGACTCCAAAATGCCAACATGCCTTAGAGGAATTGAAGTGATATCTGAGTAGCCCACCTTTACTCCACACACCAAAGGAGGATGAAACGTTGTATATATACCTGGAAGTATCTGAGATAGCGGTAAGTGGTGTGCTAGTTCGAGAAGAATAAAGCACACAATTCCCTATTTATTATGTAAGTTAGACCCTATAAGATGTTGAAACCAGGTATCCGCACCTAGAATAATAGGCTCTTGCATTAATAAGCGCATTAGGAAAATTGAAACCTTACTTTCAATGCAATCATATTTGTGTTTTAACAATGTATCCTCTTCCAAGAATATTGCATAATCCTGAATTATCAGGCGAACTGGCCAAATGGGCCATCAAACTCGGGGGATATGATATCGAGTATCAACACCGAACGACTATCAAGTCCCAAATTCTGGCGGCTTTCATGGCCGACTTTTCACCCTCCCTCGTGCCCGAGGTAGAGAAAGAACTTTTACTAAAAACAAGAACATCCTTTTGGGTATAGACCCTATTCACTGACGGTGCATCAAACGTAAGAGGGTACGGGCTCGGTATAGTTCTGAAGCCGCCTACGGGCGGCATAATCATGCAATCTATAAAACTACAAGGTTGATGTTTACCGTAAAAATTGTAACAACAGATGATGCTAGGAATATGAAGTTTAAGGATGAAATGCAAGCTAAAACGAGGCAGTAATCAAACCGATAGGCCTACTGCCCGGGTATAGGATTGGCCGATGGGGGACCTCAGGGTTGATATCCGGGTCGAGCTCGAGCTATCAGGGAGAGTCGGGAATGTGATAACAGTTAGGTTATGATCAAACAAAGCTCTATATGGCCAAGTCCAAGTGATAAATAAAGAACAAGCAAGAAAGCGATAAATGCTAAAGAGGCCTCGAGCCAGTGAAAGTAAGTGAGTTAGAGAGAAAAGAGAAAGAGATATTATTGATCTTGTGGAGAAATAGTTGGAGCAACATTAGCCCTTTACAAAGTGGCATGGACTCCCATTATATAGGAGAGTGTATACAATATAGTACAGAGTACATTAAATGCAAAGACACGGGGACGGGATGGCTAGGCACGGTGCTAGTGTTTGCTGATTCTAGCAGCTCGCCTCGAGGATCCCACGTCCTTAGAACCTTGGTTGGGTCGTGGAAGAATTCCCCATCCTCGAAATCTTTGCTGGGCTGCGGACGAACCTCGAAGGAAGGAGTTTGATCATAATCCTGCAGCCTCAAGGTGTTGATATGACTCCCCGAATGCACCTTAGTGGCGAGAAATAGACCCCTTTGATTTTACCGCATACAGTTGACTAACAACGAAGCCAAATATGAGGC